CGGTATTAACTTACGTTCAAAATTGTTGAAGCCTGGAGATCGTAAATTTTGCATTCGTAATAAATTTTCGAAACAAAATATTAGGAAACTCGAACAAAGAGAAAAAAGAATTTTTCTCAAGGGACTAAAATAGAATAGACGTTTATTTTCTGGACAAGGTGACTTAATGTAAAAGTACTTGTATTACAAAATGCTATGAGTGAAAACACAGCTAATTTTTTTTGTTTGGTATTCCATATTTCATGAACCTAATATGGCTTGTTTTGATGCTTTGAGCTTCAAAAAATTTAGTTCCTTTTAACTGTTTTAAAATCATGTTTGATGATCTTGCTTTATTCAGGTGCCTTTATAAACACTTCTTTATCTCATAAAAATATTCAAATAAAAAACAAACAAATTTGAAGAATTCTTAATTAACAGACAAAAACATTTTCTCACAAAATTGAAACATAACTTATTCTTGCTCTATTCTATGAAATACATTTTACAATAAAATATTTAGTATGGTTTGTTTTGATTCTTTGTGATATCATAAAACTCTAGTCTCCACAACCGTTTTAAAACCGTGTTTGATGATCTCCTGCTTCTCAACTAATTCAATGCATTTGAATTTAAAACTAAAAGTTCTAACTTGAATTCTGTTTTATATATGGCAGTTCCAGACATTATTTTATTTTTAAAATGCCTTTATTTATTTCTAAAATTATTCTCTTTTATTGAATGTTATGTTCATTATTTTATTTTTCGCATTATTTCATTTTTCATTCGCATTTTCGTGATTAGCAACAGTGATTTAAAAAGGTAAGTTATATTTATTTGTTAGTCTTATTCAGTTGCTTTATATGCTTTAAAGGCTAATATTTATGAATAATTATTTATGAATAAATATTAGCCTTCAAAGCATATAAATAATATTTATGAATAAATATTAGCCTTCAAAGTATATAAATAATGTTTATGAATAAAAAATTCAGGGTGAAATAAATTCTTTAGCATGGAATTTATTCATATTCTGAGAAATTCTTCTGAAGGGTTCTGAAGTATCTTCTTTACTTTAATTCATGCTTATTGAACTAAAGTCTTGTGAGTTTAAACAAATTACAAGCAAAACAAATGACTTAAATTTTAAAACGGCCACTGATAATTTTGAGCATATTTTAGCCCATAATCAACAAAATGTTTTACTGAATATCTTTACAAGTAATTCTTTTGATTCTAGCTTTTAGCATAAAAGTGAAATTCTCTGTGTTTTTGTTTCATCTTTGCCACGGCGAGGAAATTTTTTGAATCGCTTTCAAACTATCAATCAGGCAAGGCTTTTAAAATATAATACTGTATGAAGTTTGAGGCAAAATAAATTAGACTTAAATTTTAGTATGTTACTGGTTTCTTGATTGCTTGCAGACTTAAGATCATTTTTCAATATAATTTTACAGAAATCAAATTTTAAAATTATAATTTATCTACATTTAGAACTGTATAGAAAACTAAAATGGTCTTAGAATTCAAGTTTTCTGAAGACAGATTCCAGTGCACAAAATATATGTGTATTTAGAATATCAGGAGAGAAAAACTGGCAATGATGCTCATTTATATTAAATTAGTTCTAATTAAATACTAAGTAAAAGAATGAATTCAAGTCACTCATATGCAATACGAAAATGAATGATATAGACTTAGGATTCATGACTAAGAAATGTTTAAAATTACACAAAAAAGTGATCTTCGACTGGCGTAGGTTTTGAATATAAGTCTAAAAATTTCAAGGGTTATGACATAGTTCTCTCTTCTTCAGAATCAAAAAGTTTTGTAAAAATGAAAGGATCGATAAATATATATATACGAAAATAAATATTAGTTGTCAAGAAAAGCCAAAATGTTAAAAAAAAAAAAAAAAAAAAAAAAAAAAAAAAAATGCTAAGTTATTAAAGTTTTGAGGGCGTTGCGAAGAAATGGAGTACTTAACGTATTAGTTTAACCACCTGGGCGCAGTTTGGCAATCGTTTTCCAGAAGAATAGGTGATTCGGTGAATTTTTGGATTGCGACTCACAGTGGATATAGCTAGTTAAAGAAATGTTATGTGCATGATTGCCAGAGTTTAGCTACTTCTACTAAGATGGTTGCGAGAACACGTAAGTACCAGAAATGGATTAGAATTAATGTCACTAACAACAAGTTCGCAAGAAAAGTTTCAAGGGTATCTAATTCACAAACTGTGGGTATGTTCTGCAGATAATTTTCACGGAAACAGAATCAAAACTATAATTAAGTGACTAACTGTCGTAAGCTATCGAAGATCTGTTTACTTCTTCTTCTCGGTTCTGAGAGTAGTATTCTTTGATGCGAAATTCCCACGCTATTTTAGTCACAGTGATAAGCAATACTATAACTTCCTCGAAACGTAAAATCAGAGATGATATTTTAAGAACTGAGTATCAAAATTTACAACAAAATTACACTTAGTAATGAAAACCTAAAAGTTGAACTTCTGAAAAAATCCGAGAAATTTTATTAGTGACAGAAAGATGAAATAGGGCGATGACAATGTTTTGTGGTCATTTCTAATAGCAAAATATCTTTTGCGATGGCAAAGAAAACAGTTTTAAGGGCTTTTAATCAATGACCGTAGGAAAAAGATTATCTGTCGGTGGAACCAACCTTAACAGCTCGGCACAGATAATAATAAAATGAAGACTTTCTTTTTATTGTTTGTTGATCTGAATGAAGTGATTTTTTAGGGGAAGGCAAATATATGAAAAGGATTCCATTTCAGTGCATGAGAAATAAAATTCTTGAAGATTTGTCTCGCGATATTTCAAGCTCATATTAACGGAATATTTCAAGTGTTAAGTATTTATATATGAAAGACACATGAGTGAGTTGCAGAGAATATAGTCAGTTCGTTACAGTTATGTAACCGCAGGATGAATTATTAACTTCGTTTTAAATACTGGATAAATTTTTTCTTAGTAATGAAAACCTAAAAGTTGAAACCTTAAAAGTTGAATGAAAACCTAAAGTTAAATCTAAAAGTTTATTTAAGTACTCGAATATCTTCAATAGCTTGCATTTGATGTGTCAGAAATCGTAAATATTTTATTCAAGGAAATGAAAAAAAAATTCTCTGTAATAAACTGCTTATTCTTATATTCTATTAAACTTAATACGAATGTTATTAAACGAATGTTATTAAAGAAAAATAAATATTCACCAAAATTGCAACAATGTTTGAAAATTATATAAATATACAGGATAAACAACTAGAGCAATAAAATAAAGTAACTGTTACGGTGTTCCCGAAATTTAAAACATAGAGTAAATGTAAAACTGATACTCTGGCAGCGACCTTGGCGAGAATGTTGACTTGGCGAGAAACAAACGGTTACCGATCAGCGCATGCGCGAGAAACGCGTAATTGCAGTGTGTCAGTATAATGGTTTTTTAATTGCAAAATACTTATTATGTTCATTGTTTTCGAACGAAACCATAAATTTTAAAGTATTTAACTTATTATAGTAAAAACTTTTGTTAACAATTTATTCAAACCCTGCTAAATAGGATTTCAGCTGATGATCATTCGCAATTTCGTTGATACCCGCAGTGAACGGATATTTGTGATCATCCTCTAAACCAGCGGTTCTCAACCTTTTGACTAACGCGTGCCATCTAAACAAAAATTGAAAATCTTTAGTACCACCACCACTCTTTAACAAAGCTTAGATCGCATAAATTTACGGGTGTTTGAGAAAAAACTCAATTAGGACGTTGAGGGCTTTAATTTTTGAATTTAATAGTTACAAATACTTTGCTTCTTTGCGTACCACATTTTCCTCTTGCGTACCACCGGTTGAGAACCCCTGCCCTAAACCAGTTCTCAGCACGAAGACTTATCTTCTTTTCATAGCTGCATCGCCGAATGGTTTCTTTTCCAGCTTATAACTGCATATTATACTCATTTCTTTCTTTTGGTAAAATATCTTATATTTTGTAAAAAATTAAAGCTTTCTTTTCAGTTGACGATACATTGAAAATAGTAAGCGTGATAAGTATTTTCAATGAAAAACCACTATAATTTCAAAATGAAAATTTTCATTAGCCGAAGAAACATGAACTACTAGCACGAAGGAAAAAACGTTATATTTTCCGATCGAAGGTAGAAGAAATACATATGCGCAGATCAGTAACCGTTGAAAATTCGCTATACTTAAAAGCGAAAATTTTTACTAGCAGAAGAAACCTGAACTACGAGCACGGACAAATCGCTATATTTTAAAAGCAACGCTCTAAGAAACACATATGCGCAGATCGGTAACCATAACCGTTTGTTTCTCGCCAGTGCAGAAACGTGTTAAATCAGCATTCTTGCGAAGGCCGCTGCAGAAGACAAGTACAGTAAAATTATTGTGTAACATCATATAATGAAAATCGTAAGAAAGTAATCTTTGAAGTAAAGCAGGAACTAGAATATTATTTAATAAACAGAACGCAAATACAATATAATAATTCAATTCTATTCATATCAACATTAAATTCATAGAATACTTCTATCACTAAGCAAACACGGATCAGAAAGTGCATGGCAACGCCGAAAACCGATGCCATCCACAAGAAAGGGATACATAAAACTCGCGTCATTAAAACATTAATGCATTAAAAGTCTCGTGTTCATTCAATAAAGTTATTCATAAAACAGTCTCGTGGATATCTTCCGAAGTTTATTGACGGCATTACGTAACAAATCCTTTAAAATAAATTTCAAATCAAATGATTTGGTACAAGATTTATCTTTTATTTTACATTTCATGTACTTATTAAACATGCAAAATTTATTTTCAGGTATAAGGAAGTATTGTACGATTAATAGCCCATCAGGACCATGAATATGCACTTTTTTACGCTAAAAAAGAAAATGCACATTTTCGGATGTATAATACAAAAGTCACAGCTTAATTTTCCCGAAACCAAGCGCAGATCAAATTTTTAATAAATTTTCTCGGAAGAGCATTTTGCAGATTTATAGCTTCGGCATAATGTTAGGATATGAAAAAATAATGATATAAGGGAATGAAATGTAGCTTACCTTTAAATCTGGTCTTACAAGATATAACAAAGGATTTGACCTCAGCCTCTCAGCTTCGTATTGCATCCTCCTGACTTCTTCCCTTCTCTGGGAACTAAGATATGCCACTTCTTCCCGAGGAATAACTTTTGGTGGTGATCCTAATTCTTTTGGCCCATGAGGCATACTTTTTTTCCTCTTATGCACTCCCTCGCCCTTACCTCCTGAAGGCACATCTTGTTTCCGTCGGCTTGGGGGATTCACATAGAGAGATGCTGTCCGAGGGAAATTGCTTCCAGTGGAAGCTTCGGAACCCAGCTCACTGTCTATTCCTATGCTGCTCATAGTTGGACTCATGGTTCGACCATCCTCTTCACTGGGTGCAAAACTCAATAGACTGGACGCCTGACTATCACCGTAAATCATCGGCGGCATCTGGGATTTCCTACCAAATCGGGCTGGAGACAATTCGTCACCATCCATACTTTCGGAAACTCCGGAATCAGGCGTAGCGTCCGGTCCATAGCTCATTCTAGACGATGGGTGGTACTGTTGTTGGCTGAACAGACCACTCATGGGTGTCATCTCTCTGCTTAATCCACTTCTCGCAGGCGAAGGTATTCTCCTCCCATGCTTGATCACATTTCTTGGTCGTGGTTCTTGCCTATAATGGTCGAAATGATCACCCATGGCTTGCTGAATCGAATACCCGCCTCCAACACCAGTATCTCTAGCACTTGGTCTACGACGAAAAGAACCCTGACGATTAGGCACTACAGGAGGGTCATGTCCCATACCAGGAGCTCCAGAAGGACCTAAATAATTTGAGTTAATTTTCTGCATTTGATACTGAGGCTGGAGCATCTGCTGCGGAACTTGAGGAGACACGTTACTTGGATAAGCACCATATCCTTGATTTTGATTGATATAAGGCTGCTGAGATGGTGTTTGTTGTTGTGCAGGATACCTATCTTGCGTCATCATCTGCTGAGGCATATACCTAGGGTCTTGTTTTTGACCTAATCCCTGTTGAGCACTGGAGTACCCTGTTTGGTTCATAGTTACTGCACTCTGTTGGTTCATATACTGTGACTGCATCTGAGGCGTCTGAGCCCTGAACCTATCTTGCTGAGGATTATTTTGCGTTGCGTATGAGTCTGTTCTCACTTGGGACTGCTGTTGTTGCATTCCGGTCACAGGTGGTGAGGCTGCATACCTGGGCTGCTGCGTGGGAGTTCCCGTGCTCAAAGCTCGAGAGGAAAGAGTTCGTTTTGGTGTGTCCAGCGGGGACTCTGTCCTTGAGCTGTCAGGAGTTTGGGGCGATAGTGTTTGATTACTGATGTTGGTGAATGGAATTCTCGTTGACGAATTGGGATTCAGTCTGTCGGAGAACTTATTCTTCACCATATCTGCGAATATAAAAGAATGTTTTAGAAAATATAGTAGGTAATAATATATTTTTCATCTCTAATAGTAAATAAAACCCTTTAACTTTGTAACATGAAATACCGTTTGATTTTAATTTTGCTATTTATATTGTTTTGCGTATGAGTAGTCAACTAAATAAGATTATATACTTCAGCAGATGCCGCCCTAAAATCAAATACTTTTCCCATATTAAAAAAATATATATAAAAGAAATTAAAATCTGAAATTTTTCAGATTTTAAATTACGTCCAAAGGGGCGTTTTTTTAAACATTTTGTCTGTTATCTTTATTTATTAAATATTACGTTCTTCGCACTTAAACCATAAAATTCATTTCAAGAGCAATATTGCAAAATAGTTTTAAATTGAGCATATCTTTACAATTTCCGATGCAGAGTCTCGGGCGCTGGAGATAAAATGTTTTTTTTTTTTCTATACAACGTTGTCATTGCTCGCTTTTAAATCCTTGAGTTTGTTAATCAAAAACTCGTGAAAGATTTACAAAATATGAAATCGATAATAAAACAAATTCCAAAATTTCAAATTTGGGCTTCCACATGCTCATATTCGTCATTCAAAATTCGATGGCTCTACGTACCGTTGTTTTAACACAATGCGAGAACTCTAACATTTGGTGGACTCTAAAATTTGGTGGCAACAGTTTGAAAAGTGAAACGGACATTTATAGTGAACGAACGCAAAATCCTCAAGGACTGGAGGAAACGGCGTTCGCCAAAGTCCTCACCTCCTTTCTTCTTGCTCAAAAGCCAGATTGCTACAGAACGCAAAATCGCAAAATGAAAATAATAGTCCTTCGGGGGCAAAGCCTCTTCGGATTGAAAAAAAAAGAGGACAGTCTATGAAAGGTAAGCCTATAGGGGCGTAAGCCAGGCTGCCTTTGTGTATATCTAAGCATCAAGTCCTGCAGTGGTCGTGAGTGGGGAAACTTTAGTGAATTGCTATGCCACTGTTAAAGTATTTTACGAGTTTAAGTACAGTGTAGCTGACCACGTGATTAAATATGAATGTAAAACATTGTCGTAAATAATTTGAATCTTAACTGTCGTAAATAATTTGAATGTTAAAGTATTTTACAAGTACAGTGTAGCTGGCCACGTGATTAAATACGAATTTAAAACATTATCGTAAATAATTTGAACCTTAACGACCAGAGAAGTAGACTCTTCTTGTAATATTGTATAAACGATAAAACGTTGATATAGTTTACGTTAAATTTTAAGGGTGTCAGGACTCCTGTTTTTTCTAATTGCCTTTGGAAACATCTGCAAATCCTGAATGGGAGCAGGCAGCTTACTGAAACTATGCTTCTGTGTGTGTAGAACATACAGTACAAAGATGAAGGGTTAAAATGACCCCTTATTTCCCACAGCGTACAGTCGATCCCGCACTTTGGGATACAAAGACCAGCACTTATCGTCTAAAATATAAAAAATAAGTAAAACTAACTTAACTAAATAAGAACTAAGATACTTTACAAAGACTAGTAACGCAAAGATTGACCTTTTAACTCTATGTATGTAGTGAGCAGAATGCAGGAAACTATAATACGTCTTCAAGTATCAGCGAGAATTAAGTTCTGGCCTTAAAGGCAGACAGGAACTGACCGAAAAGCACGCGCGCGGTAAGGCAGGTGACAGGTGAGAGCGGATTTGAACACCCGGGGCGGCTTACTACGACTATTCGGGTATCGTCCGGAATACGAAACCGTACAACGCAATAATTCTTTGGCGCCCCAGAAGCGCGGCGTCAGGAGCTTAATAGAAACTTTTGTTGGTGCTGTATATTGAAATCTGAGCATTTTAAACTGACATTTAAACATTTTACAATAATTTTAATTTACAATACAATAGCTGTACACTGATGCACACACTGCAAGTGTTACATAAATATTACACATTAATATTTAAACATTACCTTGGTGCATTTTATGTGCACTTAGGTTTAAACACTAGGAATAAATTATTATAATAATAAGCCCACCAGCGGCCGAGCGGTGGGTCGCTGAACACTGGTAGTTCGGTCCGAGGTTCGAATCCCGCGAACGAGTTCGCTGCGTAGGCGTTTTCTTCGTTTTCCTCAAGTGTAATGTGTATACGAGCCGGTTTCCCTTAGAAAGTCCTCTACGAAGGCATCCCTCCTCTTAGGCAGATAGCCCTCGAGGCTTTGCCATAATCACACACTTACTTACTTTATTACAATAATATTTGTTTTGCACATGCGTACGTCGTTGCACGTACATAAACATTCCACATTAATAATTAAACATTTTATTCTTTGTTACAGGCCAGTTTTACAATGATATATACATATATACATAAATAAATAAACACACATAAGTTACCCTGAGGCATTTTATATATATAGTAGCTCTACAGCTACTATATATATAAAATGCCTCAGGGTTTTATATATATAGTAGCTGTAGAGCTACTATATATATAAAACCCTGAGGCTGTATAGGTTAGCTGTATAGGTTAGTTACTTTAGAATGTTCATGTACTGGACTCCATCATACAAACACTAAATAACACACTAACATGCCACACAAGAGCACTAGTAGCATAGAACGAGACACTCGGGAATAAGGCAGTAAGTATTGAAGACTGAGCAGATATCTGTAGTGCACTAGCTGACATGACAAAGGTCCTGTCCCAAAGCCTAAAGTTTTCCATTATGAGTTTTAGTTTTCTGCGCAGAGCAGGCTGCTTAATGAAGAAGCGCATGAATGGTGCATCATCATCAACTGGTAGCCGCATGTGCCACGTCTCTGTGAGTGGGTATCCTGGTTTGTAATGATCTGCAGTACCAGCCTCACCGCACACATAGAGGTTAGATGAGACAAATCCCCTTTTACAGAAATACTAGGAAAAGGGCTGTGGCCCGTTACAAATCTTGTTACAAAGGGTGCCGAGATAAGTCGCTCAGTGGAAACTTTATGATAAAATACATGAGCTCTTCTACCTTGAGGAGTTGCATTCCATTCCTCTTGCCATTGTTTTAATGCCTTGTCCCAGATCTGTCTCTTCAGATGAGATCTAGGTAGCAGAATAGGCACGGGCTGAGCATTGATGTTTCTTGCTGCATCTTTGGCGAGTTCATATGAATATTCTTTCGACTCTCGCTCTCTCTAAGCAAAGCCTGGATATCAGCTATCTGAGTAGAGGAATGGTAGTGTTACGGATTGCATAAATAGCAGAAAGGCTGTCTGTGAAGTTGCAGAATGTGTGCCCATTAAATTGTTCCGTCACTGCGATAGCCTGACTAACTGCGGCCACGTCAGCTTTGAAATACCGTATTTCCTGATTCTAAGTGCCCTTTCCATGTTTGTAAAACTTCATTGTTGCATTTTATTACAACAATGAAGGCAGCGAGAAGTCTTTTTCTTTTGGCTAAAAGCCATATCTTAAATACTTAACAGTTTGCAAGATCACTTGCATAAACAAAACTAATCGCGCTTATTCTGGCTGAAAATGAAAAATAAGAGAGGATAACAAAGTTTTAAAATAAAATAAACGTTAGTAAAACTTAAAAACCTTATATAGGTAGTCCACTAGGTGAAGCTAAATAAATTTTAGTTTCGACATTTACTTGATTTGTGTTTTGTGTGATTTGTGTGATAATCGTTCCTATGGATGGTAATTCGTCAACAAGATAACTGTGTGTGTTTTAGCTGTAACTTCAACATAGAACATGTAACTTAAAAATTCTTTGTTCATGAAAAATGAAGGAAATGAGTAATTTCAGAAGTACACTATATTTTTTAGCAGAACAGACATTATTATTAGTATAACTTCAATTATTCTAACTCCATATATCAGGATCTTAAATTATGCGGCTGCTTGGTTTTCTTTCTAGAGATTAAGTCAAATTACGCTTGTTGTTATATGCCTTATTTTTTGCTTGATTTAATTTATATATAAAGTGAAAAACCCCAAAACTATAATTTTCTTTCGTGCAGACTCTTAAACTATAATTTTTGGTGGAACTCCTAAAGCTATAATTTTTTTGTAGAACCACTACAGCTACAAATTTTTGGAATTATTAAGATTAAAATATTTGTCGAACCTTTAATTTTATTCCGTGGAAAGTTCCCTAAAGTTTTGACATTTGTGGAATCATATAACTAATTTTGGGGGAACTCCCTACCGTAATCAGAAAAAATAGCTATTGAAAACGTATTCCGTATTTCATGCGGAAAATGAAAAGAAAAATCACAATTTCTCACTCATAAAAATAGATTTACTTCATATTATTTTAGGCAGTAATGACAATAAAATAATAAAAAGCAATGTTTAAGTAATTATTTTAGATGGTTAGTTTGGTTGTCTATTAAGTATTCTTAAAAATTTCCGAACTTTTATTTCGTGAACCCTCCAAAGAGTAGCCTGGAACCCCCTTGTATCACTAAATACAGCTTGATGTCCGTTGGCTTAGATGAAGTTATATAACCTGTAAATTGGCCTATAGTGTTTGTCATGAATATTAACAGTAAAGCTAAATTCAGAGTTCTGTATTATGCCTACAGTGAGTTGTTTTTCTTCAAAACAACGATTTTAGAAAAGTAAATTCAACAAATTTGATGACGTTATACAGGGGTTGGACAAAAATATGGAAACACCTTTAAAAAAACATGTTTCTTTGCGTAATATGGTGTCGGAAACCCGTTGGCATCCAAAACAGCTTGCAGTCTTCTCGGAATGGATAAATACAGTTCCTGTGTGTTTGCCAAGGGAATATTATACCATTCTTCCTGCAAAACGGTGGCAAGTTCAGATAACGATGTTGGCGGTGGATAACGAGAACGCACATTCCGTTCCAATGTAGACCACAAAGGTTCGATAATATTCAGGTCTGGTGACTGTGGTGACCAGGGGAGATGGGACAACTCATCCTCGTGTTCAGAAAACCAGTTCTGGACAATGTGAGCTGTGTGTGAATAGGGGATTTGTCGTCTTGGAAGA